GCAGGTCGTCGGGCTACCGAAGCGGGGGTGCCATCCCCTCTGCAGAGGATCAAAATTGTGATGGCATGTCTTCGGATCATCCTCAGGGATGTTTCCCAGACCGTCGCCAATAGCCCATTGTGCAGCTCTAGTGCGACGTAAATTAACTAACCTACCATTATTAAGGGTGCGTATTTCTGCTCGCTGTCATTCGCTAATCCTACTGAGCTACGCAATTTATCTTTCATTTAACTGAACGCAGTGATATATTAAACTTTTAATAGGATAGAGCAGATTTGAAGTGTATTATTTCTTTTCGATATTTCTTTACTTCTAATACTATTTTGTTTATTTTTAGTAAGTATCCAAATAAAATAAGCAAACCCGTGAGTCATTCATTACCTTCTTCCACTTGATGACTTGGGTGGTTTATCCAGACGTCGCATATCCTTCATAATATAGACAGATCGCGCACTGGAGACGGACCTGGCTAAGCTAGGTTCTGAAATGGACATGTCACAGTTGGAGACAAATGTGCTGGTTTGTGAGGCCCTAGTTGTGCGACATTTCCATGTATATCGATGGTTGGGATTGCGACGCAGAGCGGCCCTTACGTACGCCTTGCGTAGCACCGTTTGAACCTGTAAGGAAATAGAAAATTGCATTAATGTAATAAGTGGACGGAAACTACATTATTTTTGTAATTAACTACAGCTACTTTTTTTAAAATGTAGTGACTACTTCTTGGAGACCAATTTGGCTAGAGAACTTAATATAACTCTTCCCCTATATAATATGGTTTTGAATAAAGAAAAATTGGCTTATTTAAACGTGAAGAATAATTAATACACATTTAATCATGTTGGCAGGATTCAGATTGATTTTCTAAACCATTTTCAAAGAATTTGCTCTTTTAACATTCAACTTTTTATGTTTTTCTCGATAGCGAATTCTTATAATGCGTATTGGCGCTCTTATTAACGTAATTCTTATTTACGCTCGATCACAGAAGCATTCCTATCGCGTTTTCTGACAGACCCGCGAAGATTTGTTCAAATTAGATTCGAAAAATCTACATTTGAACTTTATTTCTTGACTAAATTTACATCAAAAGTGTTTCATTTTATTTTATATCCGTCGTTGTGAACAGGCGACCCAATTTTTGAGTTTACGACTACTAGTGTTCAACTCCGTAGTCTTGTAAATTTGAACTCAATCCAGAAGGCAACTCCTGGATCGAGTATTGAGCGAAATTTGCCTTCGTAGAGGACTTTTTGAAGAAACTAACCCATATTAGCATGGTGAGGAAAGCCTTCCAAGGTTAGCCTGGCGGCAAAGGGTCTCTAATTCTTGATCCGTCTACCACTAAGGATATTTTGCGTCAGCGCTGGGGTCAGTGCGAGCCGGGTACGGAATTCGTATCGACCAGCCATCGCTAGGATTCGAACCCAGTTCACCTCATTGGAAGGCAAACGCTCTATCCCCTGAACCGTCACGGCTCCGTTAAAAGTATTTGCCAGGAATAGCTACAAAAAAATACGGATTCTTATATCGCTCTACTATCTTTTTTAAAAAAGTAGCAGGTAAGCTACGGAAAAAGTAGCAACTGCAGTGGTTTCATTATTTGTAGAGTGTTATTTCTATCTTTGAATGTAGTAAAACTTTAGGTTTTAAAAAAAATGGTACAAAGTTGTTAAATTTGGTTAGTGTACTTTAGACAGAAAGAAATGCTAGCCATCAATCTTAATTATATAAGAATTTTTTTCTTAGGGTGAGTAAAAAATGTAAAACATACATTTTTTGACCTGAGTATTTTTCTATAATCCGAAACAAACTAAATCTTAAAAAAAGAATTTGGCATTTCAAAGTTGATTAGCAATTGACAAAATCCATAATATGATGCACTTTTTTAAAATTAAGATTGGAAAATAGAATTTATTATAATGTTCTTTATTATTATATTTGTGTATATGTGATCGGTTAAATCTAAAATCTCCGGAGCACCACTATATTATCTCAAAAAGAAAAAACCATAACAAATTTAGAAAATATGTCCTAACGGAACCAAAATATATTAAATACGTAAGCTCTAACTATTATTATCTTAGATCATAGTTATGGACAATTTTATGACAAAAGAATGAATAAAACATGAACGTATCAATTGGTTAGATATAATAAACTTCAATGATGAACTTGTGAACTCAACAAAGGCAATCTTTGAAAATTTCATCCATGCTCGCAATGCAGCCAATAAAAGGTTTTTGTTCTTTGACTGCTATCTTCACACAACCTCAATTTTTGTTTTTGATTGTTTTGAGTCTACCTTCAGCTACGGTGACGCGCATATTAGACATCGTTAATGACGGTCTATTTCATGTATAAGGTTGTTCATATAAATATCTCGTGTGATTCATAATGTGTGTGAAAGTTGTTCTATATTCAGTAAATGGCATTTTGCCTAATACTTATGTCAGTTTTCAGAAAGTTCATGTAATTTACGTTTTTGACGATTCGCGATTGGTAGATAAAAAAAATGAGCCCATTGCAACTAAACTCTTTATTCAGTACAGAAAGGACGTGATTTCTGGATTCATAACTCTAATTATTTTTTAGTTACTGACATTAATTTTGAATGTATAGAATCAAAAGTGAAAATAAATTTTATTTTTCTCACATTCCTATTGGCGATCAAAATGGTCTATAGGTGGCGTAAAACAGAACTCTCTACCTATGGCAACACTTCGCATGTTAGCGTGTGGAGAATCATAGGAGAAGGAAGTACGTCAGTTTCTCTCTTGATTTTCAAATAAATTAAAACTTAGGAAACTATATGGAACTGAAAACTACGTTGAACATAGTTCTAAAAGAAAGCTTCGTGGAATTTTTAAAAAATATTTGGGACGGTTAAATTAGCAAAATATTAAGAAAAGGAAAAATATCGTAGTACATTCCTATATTACTGAGAAGAGGAATAGAGGGAAAGGGGGAGGGTCAAGACATGGAGTAGTTCTTCTCCCCAGATGACGTATTCGAGCGTTGCGATCGCGAATAGCTCCTAACAAAGCTTTTAGGTGGCATGAAGCACATGACTCCTATTCTTTTTCAAAGTGAATGACTGAATAATGCACGATAAAGTGAAATTACATTTCTGCTTGCAGCTTCAGTAGTGTAAAAAGTACTCGCATCATGATCTAAAAACTTATATGTAATGAGCAAAGGATGCTTTCCCATCATAAACTGGCTGTTCTTTTTCATCTGAACCGATACTCCTGTTTATCTAAATGGTCTTCTTTATGTTAATTTCTGTTTTTTCAATATTGTCAAGAATTGCATTAAAATAGGAACAGAAATCGTTGTTTTATAATGTAATTTACTCATTTTGCGAAAAACTTGACGAACTTTTCAAGTTTGATGTCAACAATAAACTATGATGGAACTATTGAAGTGTGACCTATTTGAGTGCGAGTTTTGACAATAATTATTATAATGTGAAGCTATTTTTCAACTACACGATGAATTCAACCATTGTTCTGCTGTTGAATAATGGAACTTTTTTTTTCTTCTCTAAGATGAACGAATTACAAAAGCCTCTATTGCCAATACTTATTATTATAAACTATATGTATTATGCAAAATTGATAATGTTATAGATAAATATACAAAACTAATAAAGATATATTTTCAAACAACTTACTTCAACATTCATGAAGCAATAGAGCACAGAGACAAAAATTCCCTGTTCGAAGTAATAAGAAAGAGATTAAATTAGGCACATAACAATAATTTAATTGCAATAAACAATTTTCTAATTGATTTAGATATTAAAGTATAAAGTGAGTAAAATTTATATGTTTAAGTTTTATCCCCATACGATCTGGAAACTTAATCCTTGGAATCAAATCTGTGTTAAACGGTAAATAAAAATTGAGATTTTCTACTCAAGAGAAGTTTTAAAAGCAGAGGTAGTGTTTAAATGTAAACTCCTCTGATCTAGAAGAGAAAACTCAATAAAGGAATTTAGAAGAAAAAATATTAAAAGAATGAACTTGCATTTGAAATAAAATCTTTTCATTTCAAATATGCAGTTAATGTGCAGCGCTGGCTATCGTACTGGAGGGTTTCTGATAACAGGGATATGTATAGTATCCGTACGGCAAAATAAAATGTGGTAAAGTTACCGTACTGTTTAATAATGACATTTCTGTTTTTATTTATTTTTATTTAAACAAACATAATTCTGGTTAATAAAACCAAAATTAATAAAGGCAATCTATGCATACCTAGCAACTCTTACGTTTTTAAAAAAAATGCTTTCTTAGTGATAATGAAAGGCCAATTGAAGTGGTATTGTGAGCAGAAATTCGTTTCACATTCGATCAGCTCATACAACACAATCAAATAACTAGCAGGCCTGTTATAGGTATGACTAAAAGTAGTGGCTGTTATAAAATAATTTTAAACAAAATTTTTTTTAAAAAACATGAAGTGTTAATATACAAATTTTGCAGGAATTAAAAATTAAATATAAGACATAAAATTATCAATTAATAATAATAATTATAATACTAATAATTATCATTAATGCTAATTAATTATACTAATGATTATTATTCATAATTATTGTTATTAATATTTATTATTATTAATGGTTAAATATAAAACATAAAATAATCAATTAAAAATTCTGATTAATTAAACTGATAATTATCATTACTAACAATATTTAATAATTATCAATACTAATTATTATTCATAATATTTAAAAAATAATTTTAAACTAAAATTTCTAAATAAAGAAACGAATGTGAATATGCGAATTTTGCATGAATGAAAAAATAAAAATTAAATTTACGACATAAAATAATAAATAATAATGATGATTAATCATATTAATAATTATCATTAATAATTATCAATAATACTACTAATTATTATTTATTACTATTATTAATTAATAAATATAAATAAAAATGATTAATAATACTAATGATTATTAATAATAGTTTTTGTTATTAATAATAATTTATTATTATTAATACTACTACTAATAATAATACTACTAATGATAATTATTAATAATAATAATTATTAACAATAATCATTGAATAAAATAAATCTTCTGAAAAATTATTAAAAGTTGGCAGTTTTGCTATCTAATATCCGATTATAAATAGCAATGTGTTAATCAATTTGTAACTTCGAAGATGTACCTGTGATGATTGAAGAGTTGCATTTGTTATCATATAAGCTTCTTCCAATTTGCTATCGTCTCTGGGGTTGACACAAAATAGAAGATGTGTTATTCCAAGGAGTGGAAATAAAAGAGCCGTTGCTTTTACAGCACGCCTAATTGAAACAAAATAGTTATGTAGAAAGGAATTGTTATTTTTAAATTAAAATATAAATCAAAAAATAAAGCAAATTCACACCTCACTTGAACGATTTCAAACATAGAACTCGTTTTCATTTTCGTTACTAGTATGCGTATGATGTTTACTAAGAAAATTAAATTGATCTGAAAAGAGAATAAAAGTTATTTGAAAATACATTCACATTTTATGTCACCAAAGCAATCAATATATATTTTACTATTTAATGACTTTTATTTATCCTATTTTAAAATGTAGGAAATCTCATCCACAATTTGTATATATATATTTTAAAAATAGTAAAAAAAATCACTTTTAAAGAATTCGCAATTTAAAAAAGGTTGCCTCCATTCAAAAATAAATAGTATAATCTCTCTCTGTGTTAAAAATTGTAAGAGCCGCCAACGCCACTGCTGTTTTGAGTGTTTAACTTAACGTTACATTTTGTTTTGCTGCGCAAAAGCTATAAGGCTTAACTTGAAATACTAAGATATGTTGAAAAGAATAAAATTTAACACTGTAATTCGAGAAATATTAACTGTTAAAATTGTTATAAAAACTAAAATACGGGCCACTCTAGAGGCCGCTCGAATGCAACCACAGAGTTGGAATATGGTGGGCCACATTTGTTTATGAACATAAAATAAAGTTTTTTTTTCTTCTCCAAAATTCCATTTTCTATGAAAGTTATTGCAAATTCAAGTTTTTTTTTTGCCAATTTTTTCCAACTTTTTTTCTTTCATTACATTTTGCATTTCTGCTCCAAATCTATAAAATTTTGAAACTTGAAATTATGATAGTGTGTAGATAAATGTGCGAGAAGTTTGACAGAATAAAAGAAACAAAAAATTGAGATTCCACAATTAGTATTGGGATAATTATTAATTATTAAACTTGTAGAAAAAAAACGTCTATTGTCCACTAAAATGCAACTACAGAGTTGAAATTCGACGTGAGGATAAGACCATTTTGCATTATATATATTTTTTCTTTTTTGAGATTCCGATTTCAACAAAAGTTATTGCAAATTTATGTACTTTTTCGTGTTTTTTAGCTTTAATTGCTTTAAATATTGACTAGTAATGCATTGTTGCAGAAAATTTATTTTTTCTTGACGAAATCTTTATTTCACAAACTCTCGCTGGTGTAAATGTAAATCTAAAGTAGCAAGAAAAAAAGAAATAGAGAGATTACATGTTGCCATATATAAGTTTTAACATTCATAGTGAAATTTTGAAAATAACTAAAAGCTTAAATAATGATAAAGATCTTTCCTTACTTGAATTGTTATAAGTCTTTTCAACGAGTAAAATCACTTTGCGTTTATTTCTTTTTATTGGTACTCCCAATATGTATTTCTTAAGGTTAGATTTTTTTTTCAAGTACAGATGATTATTTTTCAAATCTAGATAATCGTTAGTTTCGTCAAAAAAATGTTCTTACATGTAGCTGCAATAATTGTATATTTTGAAACCAAAACTTTAAGTATTTTTTGGAAAATATTGACATTAAAGAAAAAACAATGGTGACTGAGAAGAAATTGCGGGGGTTAGTGAGCGGAGCTTCCTAGTAAAATTAATGAATACTATTCAAAGTTCATAAATTGTGTGACAAATATAGGAATAATAAAGACTGAAAATTCATTCTTAAAGAATTTGAAAAAGCGCACAGAGTTGCCATTATCTAGAAATAATAATTTTTAAATGCAAAAAAAAGCAGACAATTTTTTTCTTCTTATTTTTTTGAGAAAGCTCTTCAATAAGCATAGAATTTCTCCAATCATTTTCCAAACTACAATAGCAAACTTTTCGTATAAATGAGTTTAGTTTGTAAGTTTTGCATAATTTAAAAGATAACTTTTCTTTAATGCGTATTTTTTATGGAAAATATTAAAGCAAAGTTGTTTAAAGGAGTAACTCAAGTTTTTATATAACTTAAAGTTGAGTTTAATAGCGCAAAGTTCAGAGCCTGTGGCGTTTTATGATTTTTTTTAAAAATTAATACACTGCTCAGGGGGCGATGTAACAAATTCTTCACTGTTGCTAGGTTATTAGGATGCGTTTCAGAAAATTCTTTGATGCCCGCTCCTTTAGATGCTAAGCAACAAACATACCTTCAAAACTTTTTCCCATAACACCATATAAGATTCCGTTACAAGCACATGAAGTAAATCTTATAAGATCTTTCCTTATTCTCAGGTGCTTATAATATTTGTAGTTCAAAGAAATAAGTTGTTCAATCACTTACTTAAACTTTATACCTAGAACTTTTATAGTACTCTGAATAATTTTTATGTTATTTTAGCTAAAAACAACATATTGCTTAATATAAAAAAATTAAAATGTGAAGCACATAGTTACCCCTAAGGCTCCTATCATTGGACCTGTTACAATCCATACATATGGAGACCGACCATATCCTTCCCAACAACTTCCACCCAATTGTGACGTCATTGTACTGCACCAGCTAATGATGAGAATGAGAGGAATACCTATACGATAATAAGCAAACATAACAGCAAATTTTTTAAAAAACTTTTAATAAAAAAAAGAATGTTTAATAAGAAAAATGTTGATAAAATAGCTAAGATATGTTTTTTTTTTTATGTATGTACACCTCTTTCAAACGAATGTTTTTCTTTTTTTTTGTTTCATTGAGTTAAAATATTTTATTAATATAATTAACAAAAGGTATTTTCCCACTTATTAAAATTGTAAACTTTTTTTAAAGAGTTTTTTTAAAATTTCTACTGGAAAGTGAACAATTTCTTTTTTTCTGAGAGAATACACACAAATACAACTAAAGCGACCATAACAAGCAAGATACAAACAAATTAAAGTAAACATTTATAGATGAACAGAAAGAAAAAGTTAAGTTGCAAAATTGAATAAAAGTTCTCTAGTCTCCCAATAACGGGAGTAGATAGTTCCTTCCTTCAGGGCCGAATAGTGGTTTAGTCCGAGATTAAGGATAGTTCTTTTAAGAGCGATGCCGTAAGAAAGTGTATAGTGTTAAAAAAGAAGCTTTATGGCAATAAATAAATAAGTACAAAGCGAAAAAAAAACGGGATTTAGGGCTTACTATTGATTTAATGATCAGATATGTACATACTAAGGTGCAATATTCGAAGCATAAGATTTATACTTGCGAATTAATTAGTGCACACTATAAAGTTATAAATTCCCTGCCTAAGCATACGTTCCATTTTTCTTAAGCGTTACTCATTAAACACTGATTTAAAGATTATTTCTGCCATGAAATTATTTTGTAGATAAATGAATCATATAATTGCGTTCTATGATTTGGAAAAGATATGTGTTTTCATTGTAAGTACGTTTTCAGTCGTATTTTGTTATTTAAAATATCGTATGCACTAATTAATTCGAATATTTTAGTTCTAAACCCTCGGACCATTAAGATATAATTTTATTCAGTGCGTTTTGTATTTGTTGTTCTTACAAGCAAAATAATTTTGTTGTGATACTTAGTATAAGTGCTATTGAACAATAAGATTAGAGATATAGTTTTGGTTCTGTTCCGCGACACGGGTCTCTTGTTGCCCGCTCCAAATTTCTGTACCTTTATGAGAAGATTATCATATAATCATATAACAGTTAGCGATTTGTTAATCGTTTATCGGTTGACATTTCGATTGATTCAATTCCTAATTTTTACGCGAGATCATTATTCTTTATTTAGTAAAAATTCGTTTAGCAACATTTTAAATATTTATTTCAGAAAATAAAACTAAAATTGAAATTTTAACGAATGATAACAGCATTATAACATGATCGAAACATCAAACAATTCTCGATTTTCGCAAACTTACGAAACATTCCTACTGAATGAGGTTTGATTGTTCTACTTTAAATGCACCAATCTAATTCTCTATTTCTAAATGTATATTTATATGAATCGTTATTTTGATGAAAAAGTGTCGGTACAGCATTGGAAAATATCTTATATTAAGACGAAAAGTTTGTTTTCAAAACATTTGAGTACTGCACGAAATGGTTTATTTGTAACAAAAAGCGAAGGAAGGAATATCCCCACTCTTCCAACACCTCCTAGAAGTAGGAAGGCCTCAGCACGGATCAATTTAGTAGTCCGATGTGACGAAGTTAACTGCGCAGTAGATGAAAAATAAGAAAGATGTCATTACGTTCGGGATACTAAGCTGCGCAGTGGTTGAAATTACGAAATATGTCATTACGTTTGGACTACTAAACGATATTTATGGTAACCCGTGCTGAGGCCTGCTCTTTTCTAGGAGGTGTTGACTCTTCTCCAAGCTGAAAACTGATTAAACTTTTCTGTTTATTTTCGAACGGCATCGTCGGAACAGTTTAGAGCGTGGTCCAAAAGCTCCTTGTCGGGGAACTGACCTAATGTGTTCAGATAAAATAATGTAAACAAGCGTAAACTTTGAGCAATCTCATAATTTTATTTTCAAAATTTCAACTGCAAAGGTCGTTAATTATATTTGTAGTTAGGAAACACCTAGAAAAAGTAATTATTTAGAATGTAACATTACATATGTATTAAACATTAAGAAACTAAGTACATAAATAACAAGAAACTAAAAACATATAATGGTAAAACTTATTATTTATTGAATAAAAATAGCAGTAAAATATGAAGTGAAATAAGCACTGAAATATATTTTTGCACGTTTAAATTGTTCATTTTAATTGTATTAAATGCTTTACATAAAAATATGAAAATTAAATTTGATTTTTTGGTGGACATACTATTAAATATAACATATTATTGTCATTCTTCAAATAAGTATTTTAAATATGTTTACGAAATATTTTAGACAAGCATTTAAATTGATTTATAGAGTTCTCTTTCGTTAAGTATGCACTTGATGCATTCGAATAAATTCAGGAAGTTTATAAGGTAAGATTTATGAATACTTACCCCAGCCAATGATATAATACAGCTTAAAGGGTGCATCTTTCTGGAAAATTTTTGTAGTAATTCTGCTATGAAGAAGCATACCTTCAACAAACATCCAATTAATACTGGACAACGCTGCATACATTTTAACAGAAACCACTGTTTTGCATAGCCAACTCTGAGGGAGAGATAAATGATGGTTAGTACAATATATTTAAGCTATTTTAAAATGTTTTTTATAACTACATTGAGAAAAAAATATGGCTAAAACTACCAGATTAAGGTAAAATTTACTGTATTTCTGGCTTTATGGAGCTATGAAACTTATCGAAGCGTTTTGGTAATGACTTTGATGAAATATACGATGAAATATGGTTTTATAGTCTGTAATAAAATTTGTTAACTGCTGTAAAATTTGGTAAATTTATGAGGATATACTAGAAGGTGGCACAAAAAACCATTTACTTTAAGTTTACTTTTCAGTTTTGTATTCTTTACTAAATGTGCGGTAATAGGAAATAGGATTTTGAAAATCAGAATTTCCGATAATCCGTTGCCATATGAATGGAAAAATTACCAAATAAATATTTTAAATACATTATACGTATTTTATTAGCCAAAATTGTGTGCTTTTTTTATTTCATACAAAATAAAATGACATTACCATACAGAAGTTTTACCAGAATTGTTTTCCCCGTGTAGCTTTATTGTTGATTTAAGATAAAATCTTGCGATCGAAATTTCGACCACTTTTTTGCAATCTAGGGCATTCAAATCTCTTTCGGAATTCTTTGCTTTGATACAATATAAGTTCAAACAGTTTCGAAACCACTGAAAGCAGATTTTATCGTTCTTCTTTTAGCCATATTAAATTTATCGTAAATCAAAATTTCGACCACGTTCTTACTTTCAAGTGTGCTCTAAATTTAATTGGTTATTGTTGTAGTACTACTTTGTTTACGTTGCTTTAGAGCAGCATGATCATGATGGGCTAATGGCGACGATGTGGGAAACATCCCTAAGGATGATTCAAAGACATGTCAACACAACATTGATCTTCTGTGAAGGGGATGACTCCTCCTCTTTAATAACCCCATGATCAGCGCATGGAGTCAAGTACTTCACGGTAGAACAATTTAACGATTATCTATACCGTGTACCATTGGTCTCTTCTCAGTCTGATCAAAGTGATCACCCACCTGTTCATATACCGCAGACAGTTAAGCTTGATTTCAGTGACTTATTAGGAATCGCGTTTTACAATCAGTCCAAATGTGACATTACAATTTTCAATTGTTTCCCGATTGTTACAAGTAGAATGGGTTAGGCCGGGATAGCCTGGTTGGTTGGGCACTGGGCCCATGTCCAAGAGTTCGTGGGTTCGATTCCACCCTTCCGAAGACTCCTCGTGTAGTAAATGGTGAGTGATGTACGTTAAATCTGTCGAATCGCAATGTTCTCCGTGTTCCTATAACAAATCAGTACCTCTGGGGGTATTGATCCAGGAGTTTCCTTGTCTTCTGGATTGGTTCAAAATTACAAGGTTACGGAGTTGAACATTAGTAGTCGTAAACCCAAAATTGGGTCTGCTGTTCAACGACGGATATAAAATGAAATATAAAAAAAGTAGAATGAGTTGCTCGATTGTTTAGAAGGGAATTATTCGTGAATCGAAGCTTATCAAGCCTTTTAAGCTGTACTATACCCAAACTACCAAAAATCGGTCGAGAACTCTTTTTTAGACTAACTGTCACCCAATATTAAATTCCTTCTCTTATGAGTGAAGTTTATAAGAAGACTGCAACAATTGAGAACTCTGTTAATAGAAGTTTAACCATTCTGGTGTGCCAATCTTTAATAAAGTTGATTTTTTGGCAACGGAAAACCCACAATCTATACGTGAATCAATCCGAAACTACTTCAGTAAACTCAGTGAGATTTAATACCCCTTTAGTAAAATTTATTTTTCTTATTCCCAGGAAGAAAAGAGTGATGAAAAGCATCTAACTGATGAGCTTACTGGTTAGCTAAGTAATTATCTAGTAATTATATTGATTAGTAATGTGATTTGATAGATCGATATGTACCTTTATATTCTATTTTGAAGGCTTTCCCATTTCTAAAACCTAAGAACAAGAAAGTTGGTTATACAAAATGATGTTGGATAACAAGCAGTACTTATAAAAATCAAGTTGAAACTTTGTGAACGCAACATCATGTTTCATTGTTCTTTAATCTTTCTAAAATACTCTAACTATCTTGAGCAATAAACAATAGCTTTGGGATATACATGGCTATTCTTATTCATTCAATTATTAATACTTAATATTTTTGAGGTTGGTATGATTTAGAGAGCTAGCAGTACGAATTAAGCAACAGGTTTCCCTACAATTACAGAGATGCCAACTTGCTCCGGACAGCGAATAAATATTTTCGAGTGGTAGTCTTTCAATGCATGATTCTTTGCTTAATAAATCCGAATTATTTGCTTTTTACTTACCATTATTTCTAAATGATTCAATGACTTATATGAAACGCTTCTTTTTAACAGTTAGTCCGTATATAGTCTTTTAAAAAGTTAGCAAAAGTAACCGAAATTCTGCAAGTTTTAGTTTGTAGTATGCAACCTTTTTTTAAAGTTTTTTTTATCAATCCGGAGCAGTTGGCATCTCTGCAATTAGAAAAAAAGTGTGTTCAAAACTCACCGTGTCGAAAATTTACCGTGTTGATCTATGGGAACGCCAAAATCTCGGTAATTTTTACCGATGAGCATTGGTAATGATTTTGATAAAATTAACAAAACAACATGTTTTTTCGTATCATATAAATGTTTTTTTTTTGTTTGGTAGCAAGTGACGTAAAATTTAGTAATTTTATCGTGATATCTCAGAGCATGACATAAAAACCATTTATTCAGTTAATTTTGCTTTTCAGTTTTGTAATTATTACTAAACGTGTGGTAATGTGTAATGGCGATGCCACCGGCTGCAAGAGTAACAGAAGTCTCTGAATTTGAACTAAATTGAATGATAATGATTTCTTTTCTTTTTCTTTCAAGAAATTAAACGAAAACCCAGGATTGAAAATAATTAATTTGAAATCTGTAAGTTATTACTCCTTTTTAAAGTATTCTTACTGTGGCAAATTGTTGGCTCTTTAAAAGATCCAGTACAATGATTTTGAAAACAAGAATTTTCGAATACTTTTGCTATTTGAACAGTAAAAGTGCAAAATAAATAGTTTTAAAACCGTACATTTTAGTTTTATTAACCAAAATTACGTTTTTGTTTTGTTTTTCTAGAAATGTCGTTATCAATAGAACTGTTAATTTTACAAGAATTTTTTCCTCAGTGTACCATTTGCTGACCTTTCCAAAGCAGCTGATTTTCGGAAATTACTGCACAATTATTCGTACCAAAAAATCTTATAATTAGAATAACTTGACTTTGTTATTAAAATATTTCAAATGCAATCGTTAGTTATTTGTAACTGAAAAAAATTTAAACCTGGATAACGGTACAATTTAAGCAAATCTTCTCTACTTCGTTTGTTAACGACATATATGACAGCTATAACTAGCCAACTGATTAATATTCTGATCTATATCATGCACTATTAAATTTCACAATGTAAATTTAACAAACTCAATTAATATATTAAGTAGCGGTTTGAGAAAAAAAATCGGAAAAAAGATTTCAATGCTCTCCGAAACTCGGAACACTCTAAATACAAATTAAAATGAAGACAGAAAAAAAACATGAAATGAAATGAACAATGAAATATTCAATACAAAATATTAATTATTAAAATAATAAATAACCAGTAAAAGGAAGGGAAAGAAATTCGTATTTCCTTTTGATTTAATAATGCGATTTTATTAAATTAAGACTAATTAAATCAATTAAGCAAACATAGATAAATCGATTTTTAAATTAGCTATGCTAAGTTAATTGCGGTATCTTTAGTAGATACGAGTAAAAAAATTAGTCTTATTAAAAGTAAGGAGTGATTCCGATATATAAGCTTTCGTTAAACTAAGAAAAAACGCAATTGCACGTAATTTTACTAATGGTAGAAGAAATCCGTAAATTAGTTTTAGAATTAATTATGCGCTGAAATGAAAGCCAAGTGTTTGAAGATGCATACCAATCCAGATCTTTCAATAATTACATTTTAATTTCACTTTGATTAATGTGTTTTTTTATTATTGAGCTATAAAATTTTTTGTATGTAATTATTTAGCTTCATAAAGCTAGTTACTTTTAATAGTTTTCTTTCTTTTTTTCTTCTTTTCATTTAGGGATAAAATTAAAAAAAAACTACCTGATAATTTGAATACTTTTATACTGTAGAATATTTAAAACGAAATTTTCAATGTTTATGCATCTGTTTATAAAATGTCCCATGCTAGAAAAAGTTTGAGACACGTTTAGAGTTTCTTTAAAATATTATTTTAATGTATTCGAGTGAAGAAAAAAATGAATTGAAAGTACGTGTTACCTCTAAAGTGCAGACATCAATTATTCTAAGGATTATTTAACATGCAGATTAACTACACTGTAAAAAATTCCGGATCAAATTACGGTAAAAAATATTGTCCACAGTATCCGTAAAATCTATTGAACCATAATATCCATTGTACCGTAATTTTTAAAATAATACATTTTTTAATTACAATGTTTTTATGCATTTATTTACAGTAAATACTACTGTATAAGTATTACAGTGCATATCATACTTTTTGTTCCGTAAAATGTTACTGTAATTGGACCCGGAATTTTTTATAGTGCAGAGCGACCCGTTTAACTGCCAAAAAATTGTTTCATTTCCTTAATTACCTAGGTAGTTAGAAAACTACCTAAATAATCAACACATTGCTTATAGGCATTCGTTAAAGCAATATTAGGATTTTTGATGAACAGCAGCATCGTTTTTGTATCATTAAATTAACAAAATATTATCTATTTACTTTTTGCAATTTAAAAAAATCAAGTTATTGCAATAAAACAAACTGCACAGTAGTTCATAAAATCAATCATTAATCACTTTGAAAACTATGACACAATAACCAAACATTTTAGAATTTTATTACATGGTGGAAAAAATCTGGTAAAACTACCGTACTGTCTTGAAATGAAATTTCTAGCAAAAAAAAAAAAATTCTGGTTGTAAAACTAAAATGTATGCTATTAAATCCATTCAGTGATAATTTTTAATTCATATGGAAACGGTATACCGAAGAGTTTGGTTTTCAGAATTATTATGACGACACATTTAGTAAAAAATACAAAAATGAAAAGCAAGTTTAACCAAATAAATGGTTTTTATGCCCTTCTCTAGGATATCATGATAAAATTGCGAAAGTTTACCACAGTTACCAAATTTTACCACTTTTGATAAAACCATATTTTATCGTTAATTTTACTTTAATTATTAGCAGTAAAAATTACTAAACTTTTCGATGTTCTCATAGAGCCAGAAAGATGGTAAATTTTACCATATTTTTGTGGTTTTGAAAAATGTTTTTTCAGTGCGCATTTAAGGAAATTAACATAATGGCTTTTATTTATTTTTCAATATCAAAATAATTAATTAATTCAATCAATACAATCAACAAAATAGTTGATAAAATGAGATAAACTTTTGAAATTTAATGATACAGAAACAGTTAATGCGCAATTTACCTATTTAAAATGCAGAAAACTCTTAATTCCGCACTTAATTGGATTACCTTAGAAAATCAGCAAATTAGCTAGCTAATGTACATTTAGCAACATTCGAGTTTCAGTTGCAGCATTTCTAAGAATGTGCATGCAAATCTGTACATTTTAACTATAAACTGACTAAAAATTCAATTTAGGAAAGCTGAAACTCGGAGAGAGAAATTGATTGCAGATTTGAAATATTGCAGACTTGAAAATATCCAAGGTGCGTTAAAAATTGTCATGCAACAAGGTAAAAAAATGATCTCACTGTAATTTGTAAAAAAATCTGACAGGTAATATATGTTTCATATAATGTGCAAAAATATTTTAGAATCATTTTCATTACTTACAATATCTTTGTAAGATGGTATCGAGGCTCCTCCGACGACAGGTAATGAGATGATCACTAACATCAATGAATGAATGATTAGAGCCACAACCAAGTTTCTGTGAACCCTCAATCTTGAGCACTGAAGAGATCTGGAATTAATAGATTTTAAAGAAAAACATTAAAATTATCTTTTTATAAATGAGTATCTTTGTTAAAAGATTCAAAGTACAATGCGCAAAAATAAGTAAATAAACGGACCATCCTGAATAACTTTTGATCTAATGATCGGATCTTCACGTTCTAGGACACAATCTTAATGGTTTGAAGGGGAGACCTCAACTATGCTAATTAGTTAGTTCAGATGATATTTTATAATACGAAATCAAGCACAGAAAAGTACTTTCTTTGAATAAATATACCATTTATTTGATGGATTTGGATTTATGACCCCCAAAATATGAGGGGCAGCCGCAATTTGGGAAATATGGTTCCAATAGTTTGATCAAGAGAGCTGTTTAAAATTCTCTTAATGTTAATTTTACTTTTTGCGTATTTCGCCGTATCTAAAAATTATTTTAAGCGAAAAGAAAATTTTTTGCAAACAAATATAAAATCAGTTTAGCCAAAAAGAATTTCATGCGAAGAAATAATTTTTAGTGAATATTTACTATGTTTTATCATTTTATTTAATAATATGTGAAAAACTTTTTAATTGCAAGGTTTACAATTCTTTACATAATTTAAAAGAATGCAATTTTAAATGGCCAAATACAAAATTTGAACGAAATTGATCAAATATTTTCTGACAAATCAAATTTTGAAAAAGTCGTGTTTTTAAAATTTGATTTCTCAGGACAAATTTTCCTCAAATTTTGAATTTTGAAGAAAAAAAAACAATCTTTCAAATGCTGTGAAAATTTTTACCGTACAAGAGTTTTTTTTTTACTATTATTGTATAATATAATAAAAATTAGTAAATACTCACTAAACGTTATTTTTTGCATGAATTTCTTTTTGGCTAAACGAATTTTATAGCTGTATGCAAATCAACTTAATTCGCTTAAACAGTTGCCGAGGTATGGTGAAATACGCAAAAATTAAAATTGACATTAACGGGTTCAAACATTGAGCCTCTCTCCTGATCAAACTATTAATGACCATGCTTCCCAGATTGCTACTATCCCTAATATCTTAGGGAGACAGAAATTTGACTCCATCGAAGAAAGAGTTTATTTATTCGGAGAAAATACGTTTTTGTGTCTGATTTCGTAACTTAAAATATCGTCTGCACTAATTAATTATCATACTTGAGGTCACCCCCTCGAACCATTAAGATTGAGTCCTAGAATGTAAAGATCCGATTATTAAATTAGAAGTAATTCAGTATGGTCCTTTTTCTTCTTCCTGCACTGTACATGAATAAATCCACTCTTTTTGAGTATCGGATTGAGTATAATAATTGATATAATATAGTCGTGTGCACTAATAATAATTGTGAAGTTTTTTTTTTGAGTATTTGATTGAGTGTAATAATTTATATGATATAGTCGTATACACTAATAATAATTGTTAAGATTCCTTTAAAATGGTGGTAAATTTTGATAAGTCCAGGCTGTTATAAGTAAAACAAAAGTGAACAATCTAGCTATGCAATAAGTTTGCACGAATAATTTATGAGCGATATTAATGGGAGTAGAAAAAGTAAAGTACTAAATCTCGTTTTTATATTGAATATTTTTCAAAAATATACAATTTAATTTATCATGGACAGTCCAGTAAAATTAGACTTTTTTTCAGAATAATTAATGTCAAAGATATTTTTTGACAAAAAGATTTGTTATGTTATTTTAAGTGATGCCTGAAAGCTCCCCAATTTTTCTACGTACCCTTTCCCCTTTTTTGAGAGAAATGGGGGTGATTTGATCGAGAGAATTGAATTTCTACTTGACAAGCAAGTGAGCTATAAATACACATAGAGCAAGCCCACTGTTGTATTTCTTCCTCTCTCTAGCTTTGTCCCAAACATCAAAGTCCTCTCTGTCACATACTTTCCCTTTTTCTGTGATTTTTAGAGCAAAAAGAAGAAAATCGTGAGTCAGTTCAGATAAGTTCTCTTTTCTGGTAGACTCGTGTTTTGTAGACTTATACAGGCAATGGAAGAAAGTTAAAATATAGGATCGTTTTTCTTTACTAAATTGACTAAGACTGACTTGACTAAATTGACTAAGACTTTACTAAATTGAAAATAATTTTTGAATTTAAATTTTTTATGCACGTAAACTGTTCCTTTTTTAAAATATTTTTTATAAAACTAAGAAAGTTTTAATTTTTGTATGGTTTTAAAGAGAGAAAAAATGTGTATTTGAATGAAACTCATCACAAATTGGTTCACTAGTCTTCAGAAGCATCTGAAGTAACTTTGTAATAATCCTGTAAAATAATTCTTTTATCGATTTATTATTGAAGTGTATGAAAAACACGTTTAAATTTTAGTCTAACAAAGAGTTTACTACATCTTGTAAATTAATGGATGTTTTTCAGGTATTGGAGGTTCTTGAACATTTACAAGAAATGATTTTAGACCTGTCAGGAAGTAGAAAAATAAAATAAAAATAAAGAAGAAAAAAAAAGAGCTGAATCTCCTTAAGTTAAAAAAAAATCTGCTTTACTCTTTGAAACTTTCCGATTTTATTTACACTTACCTATTTTATTCACACTCTTATGTTGATAACCAGCCTTAATACCTCTGCTAGAACTCTGAATTTTTTTCATGTGTTTTAATGCAATTTAAAAAGATCAGCTAATTTCAATTTAAAAGATCTGAAGATTTCATCAAAGAACTTATAATTAAGCTCTAAGAAAAACTTTGCCTTATTTATCGAATAGTTGTGCAATAATTTTCTTTAATCGCAGTCTCGCAATCTAATTTTTGAGCAAATGTATTTTATAGATTAAATTAGTTCAAAGTAAGCGGTTGAAATTTTAAAAAAAAAGTATTCAAAAATTTATTTGTTCAAATGCATTAAATAGAGTAAAAATTAGGATGTGAATAAACGCAGAAGGAAGAAACTACAGTGTCGCCAAAACTTCACCGACTGTATTTCAGTGCTAAAATTAAAAATATAAAGATGAATAATTCTATATAATCATTACTTTAAGGTTAAGTTGTGTTCTTATTCGCTTATGCTCTGTCAGATAGTTTTATAAGTGTAAATTTGGATTTTAGAATGACTGTAATAGAATAATAGTGATTCATATGATGTTTAAAGGAAAAGAGCGTGAAAAAAGTTCTTTTATGTAGTAAATGAGGCGATTGAGAAATTCCAAAAAGTGATCATTTAACTTACTATACTTAAATTTATAAGGTTCTCTTTTAACAACTGCTTTTGTACAATCGGACTCAGTACAGCACACCACCGTGTTATAAGATTTTTGACTTTCAAATTCATGCATCAATTTTCTTTTATTAAAATAAGTAGGAGAAACGGAAGGTAGAAAATTTATCTCTTGATTTTCTCTGTAGTCACGTGGTTACATTATGAGCACAAAAATTATCTTGATGTGCGTGCTCCATTTTACATTTTATCTCTATGATATTTCTGGATATATTTTTTTTAATGCCTAATTGAGTGAGACCGATCTCGAGATGATTGGGCTATTAATTTTGAAGTTATAAGGATTTTTTCTATATAAAAAACAAATAGGCTTTTTTTGCCTTTTTACTCATTTGATATTGTTACCTAAAGAAGTGGCACGTTGATTTTATGCATTTTTCACGCTGAAGCGAAGTCAATCGAACAATTAAAATTAAGTTAAAAGTTATGATTGTTTTTATATATAAAAAGTACTACTTTTGACACTTGTGTATGCACTTCACATTGCTATTCAGGAACAATCTGAACATGGTACATATTCCGTTGCAACTTATTGCATTGAATTGAATTCGACAATCAGACTATTAGTATCCAGCCACTGACAATTATATTCACAATGTGGATTCAGCAGTTTAAAATAAATAACTTCCCGTAATTACGCAAGGAAATAATATTTAGAGATACATATTAACTGATTTAATTAAGCTTACTTGCCTTATCCTTTTAAATCAAAGACAGAATTATGATTCGAATACCACGGTTTAATAACTCGAATCAGAGCTAAAATAACTATTCAAATTAACGAATCATTCAAATAATTTGATTTAGTGCTAACGATTTAATACCAAATTTTAATTATACTAAGGATTTGAATGCTTTATAGTATCTTCTGACCATTCGGAAATTAAAGTATTTCAACTTTTTATATGGCAATTTGTTTCTAGTAATGCTATGTTAAAATATTTTTCGGATTGAGATTGATTTATAAAAATTTATTAATTCAGTTTATTACTTAAAACTTTTTTGATTTTTAAGACTATTTTTTGGTGAGAAGGTGGATGGGAATTTTTTTCAAAATTTTATTTATTTTTTTGTGAAAAAATTAGCCATAAACGTGAAATTTTCTGTTTATAAATAACCGAATTAATGAATTCTGTGTTTATAAATACAAATAAACTCGATAGGAAATGTTGAAATAAGCGAACGCATTACGCACAAGGAAAAATATAGTTTGTCTGTGGAAAGAACTTCCCTCGCCATTCGTCTGGAACAGTGGTGGTGACCATGGTTATGAGGTCTAACTATTACAAGTAGAGGTGTTAGACCATTATTTAAAATAGCTTTTGGCTCGCTTTGGCTAGTAAAAGGGAATCAGGGAGGAAAGAAGCTCCCCTCTTTAAAATGTGCTGCTTTTTGTTTCAAAAGCAGCAGACGCCATTAGATTTTGTGGCGAGGGAAGTTCTTTATGTAGACCAACTATAGCTCCCCAATGTTGGCTTCTTTTTCAGCTGCACGCTTTTACGGGTTACCCAAATTTTTGCAAACATAACTCTATCGAAAGGCGCTTTTTTCACATTTTCTGAAATTATCAACAGGTGGCAGCACAAACCGTAGGTGGGAAAATAGCTTCGCATTTACATTCAAAAAACATAATGAATTTAGTGATTTGCATACTTTCACCGTCCTAAAAGTGTTTAAGTAATGCAAATTATTTATACTTTTTGATATTTTTAAACTGGATATACTTACTTGAAGTAGAAAAAAATGAAAATGGTGATGGTTAGGAAGAACAAGGATATCAATGAGCAGATCAGAAGAATTAGACTGACAGTTAGTGGAGCTTTAGGTATATCCTGCAAATAAACCACAGCATTAAAAAACTAGCTGAATCACTTGCAATATTATCCAATGTAACTAATTCATAATTTTTTCTTATAAATATTTTAAAATAGGAATAATTCGAAAATTTGTGCATGTTTCGTTTGCTTGAAGCATTAAAGTATTTGTAAATCCTTCAAACAAGTAAGTTCAACAAATTTTTCAACAAAAATATAAAAAGTAATGTCTAAAAAATAAAAAATGTTTAAAAAATATTTCAATTTTAATTACCCGTTAGTGAACGAAAGACGTTTAATTTTATGTACGTTTATGTACGTTTTTCAGACGTTTTTTTTTGGTACATGTTATATTTTCTGTACACACTGTAAAAACATCAAATCAAATTACGGTATAAAGTATTGGTCCTTTGGGTGCATCATCCGTAAAATTAATTTCACCGTAAAATACATTTTTGCAGTAAAATATTATACCAAAATTTTTACAATAATATTTATTTAATTAGAGTGATTCAGTGATATTACGCAAATTATAACAGTAAAAATTACGGTTAATCAGATTTTTTTGTTATGTAACATGTTCCTGCAAAAGTGGATTTTACAGTAAAAAATAAACGGTACAATACATCAGCACTCTGAGTTCCAGTACTTTCTACCGGAATATGACCCGGAGGTATTTTCAGCACATAAAACTAATAGCGCATTATTCGTAAGTAATTTGTTAGAACTAATTAAATATAAATTTCTGATGGTGAATTTCATCTGCAAAAATTGCAGTTTTGCAAAATGTAATTTAGTAATTATTCTTAAGATTTAAGTGAAGTTCTACATCTTTAAAACTCATCAATGAAGATTAGCTTCATATTGTGTCAAATTATTTTTAATTCTCTATCCATTTTTTTTAATAATTGTGACCGAATTTGAAGTGGAATCCTTATTTCGCATAAAATAATATGCTATTGTTGAAAAGAAAATTCTAATTTAATAATAGGTTAATGAACTGCTTCATTAATAGTAATATCAGCGATAAATCGAATAGAATTTCAAACATTGAAGAAAAATAATTCTGAAATGTAATTGAGCTAAATAAATAGTAGCAGGATTAATACGAGCTAAAGTATGGATGTAAAAGAGCGTAACTTTTTCGAAAACTAAATAAATATGAAATTTTTGCAGTTTTCAATAACTAAGCTGTTCACAATTATGTTGTTTTTTTAAAAAAACGATGGTTCATTAATGATTAGAATAAAGCTATGTTTAGTGAAGAGTTACAGGAAAATATATATACGAACCATTATCAAAAATCTTCTTTTCTTTATATAAAATATTTACTAACCATTGTAGATTATGGAAAAAACAATTTCAAACCTTTAAGAAATAGATTCCTGCGCAGTTATATGTGAGTTTATTTTTTTGTCTCTTTAAATTTTTTTCTTCAAATATAGATTAACAGAAGGAACAAGAATTTTTTTTTAGACGCATTATTAAATTTGCCGCAAGAAAATTGCATTAAACATTAAATAAATTACTGTGCGATGTTTTTTTTTTTATAAAATATTTACTTTTCTTTAAACGTTTTCCGATAAATAGCATTTGCTTTTAAATTTTACGTCCAAGCACAGTAGTAAACTTTTTTTTATATAGTTTCAGTGATGAAAGAACTAGTCCAAAACTCGATGAATGGAATATTTCCTGAATAAGTAGTTTTGTAGTCTTATAGATATCAATATCAAAAAAAAAAAAAATGAAAAGAAAAAAACCCGAAAGAGATGCATTTGATTGTTAAATTGTTTCCGAATAAAACATTTTGATAAAACCAATTCTCGTACAAAAGATAAAATTCGGGAAATACATTGAATTCTGTCTTCCAAACGATTCAATCTATTTCAGGTAAGTGTATTTTCTCAGCTACTCGTGGGAACCGAAGTGAAATGATGCGAACAAAACGATTTTGTGAACGGTAAATTGGATATGCTATCCGAAGGAATCGTAGGATTATATGCCGTGGCACGCATATTTCTATCAGAAACACCTATAAAGCTTATTCACGCAAATTATATTTGTTGTTTCGAATTCTAGATAATGGCAAGTCGTTGAGTTACTTCTTTTTTCAAAAGAAAAGATGAATATTGAGGATTTGTTCTATCTATATATATAAAGTTACGTTATTTTTATTAAGCTTCTTTTAAATGTAACTGATTACAATTTTATTTAAAACATTTTGGGTAGATATGGAAATGAATCCAATTAAAAGAAGACAAATTCTTTTAAGCAAAAGATTAATTTCACCTTTTGGAACTATGATAAAACGATATACATATATTTTTTTTATTATAATGCCAAAAAAAATAAAAATAAAAAAAACTTTTTATTCTGAGAAATTTAATAAATTAAATTTTTTATTTTGTGTAAAAGTTTTGCTGATGATTCAATAGTATTTATCAGCTTTAAGTTCTTATAAATAGTTATTCTTTATACATATTCTTATGTCTCTTATAATCATATTTTTGTATTTCTTATTATTCTTTTATAGTACTTTCTTACTTCTCTTATAATTCTTATTATATATCACAATTATTGTATATTTTTTTGTCTCTTAATATTCTTATTATATTTCACAATTATTATATATTCTGATATTTCTTATTATAATGTATCAGTTTTTATAAATTTTATAAGTAGGTTATATTTAAAATATAAATTACTATTCAGAATATAAGTACCAATGTTTTTTTCTTTTACCCAGAACCCAAAGTTGAGAAAAATAATTTTTGACATGCATGTCGAATAATATAAAGATTACGATTAATGAATCTTAGAGTACTATAATTAATAGAGCGTAAAATGAAAACAAATATAAATTTAATTGTTAATTGCAATCTAGCAAAAACAAATTAAAAACTTAACGAGGAAATCCTTGAAAGGGTCAGCACATGAAACCTATTTGATTACAAGCATTAATTTAAACAAATCAGTTATTCGAAATAAATAAAAAAAACTCCATTTTCTTTGCTTAAGTTTCTTAAAAATTTTTTAAAAGTATATTTTTTTATATTGTTGAGCAGTATATTTTAATATTAAAGATAGATTCTACTTAACACGCGTAAAAAAAATGTTCATCTAGAGTTGGGAAAGCTGTGGATTCAATTTCGCCTAAAATACCTGGCTGCGCAAAACTTGGATTGAAATTGAACATCGGTTCAATTTTGTGAGATTATTTAATGCATGTGAGATTATCCAATGCAGAAATGCACGTCTAGCGTATATAGATACCTGTATATAAGTCGACCTCGTGTATAAGTTTATTTACTATTTTTGATCATGAATCTTTTAGTATTTCTGATTAATAATTCTTAGAGTACCTTAATTAATAAAGTGTAAAATAAAAACTAATGTAAATTTAATTGTTAATTACTATCTAATAAAAACAAAAAAAAACTGCTTCTTTAGGGGGATATCCGTGAAAGGATAAGCACACGAAACATAACTGATTACAAGCATTGATTTAAAGAAAACAGTTATTCGAAATAAAAAACTAAATTTTCTTTGCTTAAGATTCTTAAAATTTTTATTAACTATTTCTTGATATGGTCAAGCAGTATATTTTAATATGAAAAATGGATTCTATTCAACGAGCTTAAAAAAAAATGTTCGTCAAGAGTTGGGAAAGCTGTGAATTCAATTTCACTAGACAGTCTGGCTGTGCAAAACTTGGTTTGAGGTTGAACATCGATTAAGTCTTATGAGATTATCCAATGCAGTCATATAGATGGTGTTTTCAATATAAATGTAAACAGCAACATTCTCGAGCCACTGACCTACTCCTCTTCCGGTAAGAAAAAATACGCAGATGCTTACTACTGCTTATTCTGTGAGGCAATATCTTCAAACAGACCGGCAAAGTATGAAATGATTTATATTTCACACATTGCCTAGGCATTCTATAGAATGCCAAGTGAGAAACCGGCAAAGTATAAAATACAGCTCCGATTCGTCAAAATGTCATTCAAAAATGACAAATTCAAAACGTTATTCGATTTGATATTAATTTATTCGTGGATATAATTACATTTATTCGATATATATCTTACTGACGATAGATCAGAAGAAACATCAGTGTTTGGAGTATCGGGCAAATGTATACCGGGCAATGGCACTTGACCTTAAAAAAACATCAGTGTAAGATATACCGGGCAAATGTATACCGCGCAGTTGCACTAGACCTAGTATATATTTCGGACATTTACCAAAGGTCTAGTCATACTAGGTCTAGTTAAGTGCCACTGTTCGGTATACATTTGCCCGGTATACCCTACACTGATGTTTTTTTTATAGTCAAGTGCCACTGCCCGGTTTATATTTGCCCGGTATACCCTACACTCATGTTTTTTTAAGATCAAGTGCATTTGCCCGGTATTTGCCCGCTATACCCTACACTGATGTTTTTTTAAGGTCGAATGCCATTGCCCGGTATACATTTGCCCGATACTCCAAACTGATGTTTCTTCTAATATATCGTCAGTAAGTATTGAAATATCGAATAAATGTAATTATATCCACGAATAAATTAATATAAAATCGGATTTGATAAATATTTCGGACATTCATCAAAGCGACTGTGTGATTTTCAACATTCACCGGTGAAAGTCAGCAACCACCGATTTCGGTCATTCACAGTAACATGCACATCATTTACATAATAACCTCATCAGGACGTTTATTTCATACTTTGCCTAAATAGCATTTGGCATTCTATAGAATGCCTAGGCATTTTATACAATGCCTAGGGAAAGTATGTAATACTTCTCACATTTCATACTGTGCCTAAGGCCATCAGGCATTCTATACAACGCTTAGGCATTCTAAGCAATGCCGGCGTTTCTTACTTTGCCGGTAACATATATATGATATTAAGTAATTCTGACGAGTTTGAAATGAAATTTTATTTTAGTTATTTACAGATGTATTGTTAAAAAAGGTGACATGGTTACTAGATTTAGAAGGAACTCACTTTTTTG